TTGAAGGGTTTACGGCCGAAGGAGGGTTCCGACATTGCTACTTATACAGCAAGATTCTGTGATCTAGCTCTTCTCTGTCTGGGAGTGGTCGCCCCTGAAAGCAAGAAAATAGAGAGGTATATTTGGGGATTGACACCCCCAACTCAGGGTAATGTTTTGGCTACTAAACCTTCCACTTTCGACAGCGCCAAGTGTTTAGCGCAAACTCTTATAGATCACGGGGTTGGTCTTGATGCAGTAACGGCCGTTCCCGAACCACCAAAGGAGAGTGGTGGGAAGAAAAAGTTCTGGAACAAGCGTAAGGGCCAGTCTTTGCAGGAGCCCTCCAAGAAACTAGAAGTAGTGGCAGTTCATGCCGCTACCACTCCTGCTGCTGTTCCCACTACTCCAACAACTCCCAACCGTTATGCTGGAAACTTGCCCTTGTGCAACAAATGCAACTTCCATCATTTGGGAGTTTGTAGAGAGATGCAATGCGACAAATGTGGCAGAAAGGGGCACATGGCTCGATTTTGCAAGACACCAGCCCAACCGACCAGTCAGACTACTGGAGCAGGCGTTGGTCAAGCCTGTTATGGCTGTGGGGAGGTCGGGCACTTCAAGAGAAATTGTCCTAAGGCAAAAACAGTTGGCGACACATGGAGGGTGCTAGCGATGGGCCAGAAGGAGGCAGTTGTTGATCCCACCGTTGTTACGGGTACGTTCCTCCTTGACAACTCTTATGCATGTATTCTTTTCGATTCTGGTGCGGAAAGAAGTTTCGTTAGTCATGCATTTAAGCATCTACTCAAGCATAAATCCCAACCTTTAACCGAAACATTCACCATCGAGATGGATAACAGAAAGAAAGAAGCACTAACGACGTATTCATAGGCTGTACTCTTACCTTAAACGACCATTCCTTCCCAATCGACCATATGCCAGTTTCCATAAAAAGCTTCGACGTCATCATCGGCATGGATTGGTTGAGCCCCAATCGTGCCGACATCCTTTGCTATGAAAAAGCCATTCGCCTCAATCCGCCCTCAGGCGAAGCCCTCATAATCTACGGTGATAAACTCAGCTCAAACCTTCATATCATTTCATGCATTCAAGCCCAGAAATATCTGTGAAAGGAGTGCCATGCATTCCTCGCCCATGTCGTTAATGAGAAGCAGGAAGTTAAAGACCTCAAGAGCATCCCCAAAGTCCGCAACTTTCCTGATGTCTTCCCCGAATATCATCCCGGAATCCCTCCCGAGCGCCAAGTCGAGTTCCGTATCGACTTAATTCCCGGAGCTATTCCTGTAGCTAAATCCCCATATTGTCTAGCGCCGGCTGAAATGCAAGAGTTATCCAGCCAGCTCAATGAACTTCTCAACAAAGGATTCATCAGGCCAGGTTCCTCACCTTGGGGAGCCCCGATTCTATTCGTGAAAAAAAAGGATGGATCCTTTCGAATGTGCATAGATTATCATGAATTGAACAAGCTTACCATCAAAAACCGTTACCCCTTACCTAGAATCGACGACCTCTTCGATCAACTTCAAGGAGCCAGCTATTTCTCCAAGATAGACCTGAGATCAGGGTACCATCAGTTGCCAGTCCATGAGAGTCATGTTCCCAAAACAACATTCCGAACTCGTTATGGTCACTACAAGTTTGTAGTAGTGCCTTTTGGTCTAACCAATGCACCCGCGATATTCATGGATCTGATAAATCGGATGTGCTGCCCTTTCCTAGACAAGTTCGTGATAGTATTCATTGATGATATACTTGTCTACTCTCGGAGTGAGTAAGATCACAAACAACACTTGAGGCTAGTGCTGGAAACATTAAGGGCGGAGAAACTATACGCAAAATTCTCTAAGTGCGAATTTTGGATCAGAAAGGTAACGTTACTCGGTCACGTGGTTAGTAAGGAAGGCATACACGTGGACCCTTCCAAAATCAAAGCGATGGAGAATTGGTCAGCACCGAAGACACCTACAGAAATCCCTCAATTCTTGGGTCTCGCTGGCTATTATCGCAGGTTTATCCAGAACTTCTCCAGGATTGCTAAGCCCTTAACCACCCTGACTCAGAAAGGTGTAATAACCTTTAGTTGGAGAGAAAATCAAGACATTGCATCTCAAACATTAAAGCAGGCCCTATGTAGCGCACCTATCCTGTCTCTGCCTGAAGGGACGGAGGACTTCGTTGTCTACTGCGATGCATCCAATCAGGGTCTAGGCTGTGTGCTCATGCAAAGAGGAAATATTATTGCCTATCCCTCGAGACAGCTGAAGACACATGAAGTCAATTATACAACTCACGACCTGGAGTTGGGAGCAGTGGTCTTCGCATTAAAAATTTAGAGACATTACCTTTACGGAACCAAGTGTACTGTCTTCACCGACCATAAGAGCCTACAACATATCTTCGATCAGAAAGAGTTGAACATGAGGCAACGGCGATGGGTAGAGCTACTCAGTTATTATAAGTGCGAAATACGCTATCATCCCGGCAAGGCCAATGTGGTAGCGGAGGCCCTCAGCCGGAAAGAGTATTCAGGTCGTAGAGTGAAGGCGCTGACAATGACCGTCCATTCACATCTGTCCGCTCAAATCGGAGAGGCTCAGCTGGAAGCCTTAAAACCAGAGAACATGTCGGATGAAGCCTTGAGGGGAATGGAAAAGAACTTGGAAATCAAAGGAGATGGAGTCTACTATTCCATGAACCGGATCTGGACCCCAAAGTTCGGCGGGTACAGGGAGGTTGTCATGAACGAAGCTCACAAGACTAGATACTCCGTTCACCCAGGTTCGGATAAGATGTACCTGGATCTCAAAAGGCTCTATTGGTGGCCAAACATGAAAGCAGAGATCGCTACCTTCGTGGGCAGGTGCCTGACTTGCGCCAAGGTGAAGGTGGAATATCAAAAGCCCTCAGGTTTACTTCAGCAGCCAGCAATACCTGAGTGGAAGTGTGAAATGATTACGATTGATTTTATCACTAAGTTGCCCAAATCTCCGAGTGGGCACGATACCATCTGGGTAGTTGTCGATCGATTGACTAAATCCTCCCACTTCCTGCCAATCAAAGAAAACTTCAAGATGGAGAGTGTCACACCCCCGAACCAGACGGCGGAAACGTCTGAGGGCTCGTGTGACTTAAATTGAAATATCATCACAATGAATATACATGAAACATGACATAAACATCACCATGCATTAATACATTACAACCGTCATTGTTCACATCAAGTACATTGTTTACATTACATAATCCCAAAACATAAATTGTTTATCAAATGACATCACAAAAGACATTCAGACACAAGCTTGATAATTCTTCATTCTAACGGTTACCTGAGAACACAAGTTATTTTGAAAACGGTCAATGTATATAATGTTGGTGAGTTCATAACCAGGTTTGGTGTGAAAAATGTTTTGTATTGTTTGTAAAACCCAGAAAATCCGATATTTTCTGTAACGAAAATTGTTTACGAAAAAGGTGTGATGATCCATAAGTATACGTGTATATGATTTCAAAACATGTAAAAGTGAAATGCCTTTCATAATAGTCCTTGTAATATAGTTGTTGTAAGTAGAAGTGAATAATGTTGTTCCCCGGAAAACCCGATGTTTTCCGGTATAAAAGGTATGATAGTTTTGTATTATTGTATAATCTCTTTGCATCGTCACAGCGTATGAATATGATTTCCCATGATTACTTAGATGATAATGGATCTCTATGTGAGCCGTTATAACCATGCATAATAATGACTAATTCGTCTGTCTTGGCATTTTATCGAATGCCGGTCTTGAATTAAGATTTTGTCACCCTAGACTGGCCGAGTCTAACTGTAGCGAATAGCTTAGGTGTGGGGGAGTCACCCCCGTATAGATCTATACACAAACTCTCGCTCTCCCTCCAGGAGAATTTGATTATAACTACAGACTACGACCAACACTTATTGGTGTCACTCGTTATTTCTCACTAAATCCAAAAGAATTTGAATAACATTGTTTTACGACCTGATTTATGTTTACTTGAATAAAGGTAAGCCTAACAGACGAAGAGAAGAGGACTACGGAGGCCCACTAACTTTGTATGTTATTACAGGCTGTCGAGTATGCTACGGACACGTTATAGCCCATTAAGCATATTATAAAGGTTTAGGGTCTTATTAGCAATGCAAATGGACCATTAAGACCCAATAGCATATTAAAGCTGATAAAGGCCCACTAGGTATGTAATTGGGTCACCGGAAGCCCAATAAACATGTTTGAATATATTGGGCCCAATAATCATGATATTTGGCCACAAAGGCCCAATAGCACAAATAGAAGATATTTGAGCCCAACCATTGAATAATTTATTGATCTTAAGTTCGTAATGTAGGTATTTGTTGTAAGTTCGCTGTTTTATTCGAAGTGTTAAAATACTTTGACGTTTGATTTATAACGAAGCTTTGGTTATACGTATATATATATATATATATATATATATATATATATATATATATATATATATATATATATATATATATATATATATATATATATATATATATAGAGAGAGAGAGAGTTAGATTCAAATGTTTTTAGCAACTATTGTGTGCATAAATGCACCAATAGGAATTTAGGAATAATAAAATTATTAAAAAATAATATAAGGGTAATTTTGTAACTTTACATCACCTTCATTTATTAAACCAAAAATAATTCTCTTATATAGATAGAAAACTCCTTAATTAATGGAACAGTTACCATAAAAGGCCCTAAACTAACCCTAGTCGTCCAAGTCCATTGTGTGAGGACGTGTTGCGTTGGTTCCCTTTTTGATATCGGCCGAGAAAGAGAAATCTGGAGGGGAGGGGCTGTGCGATCGGAAGAGAAGAGGATGAAGACTACAAGGAGCCACCACCGGCGCCGTTTTTCGAGCCAGGCGAGTTGTCGTCATGGTCGTTTTACAGAGCCGGTATCGCAGAGTTCATCGCCACCTTCTTGTTCCTCTACATCTCGGTGTTGACTGTAATGGGTGTGGTCAAATCTCCGACGAAATGTGGCACGGTGGGTATTCAAGGAATCGCGTGGGCTTTCGGTGGTATGATCTTCGCTCTTGTCTACTACACCGCCGGTATCTCAGGTATGTTTCCACTTTCCACCGGAACCCTAATTTTATCTTCTTTCTTCTTCAAATCGTCTAAAAATTACGTTTCATCTTCAAACAGGAGGGCATATTAATCCAGCTGTAACATTCGGTTTGCTATTAGCAAGAAAATTGTCGTTGACCAGGGCAGTGTTCTACATGGTGATGCAGTGTCTTGGAGCGATCTGTGGTGCCGGAGTTGTGAAAGGGTTTCAGGGTGATGCGCAGTACACGACGTTAGGCGGTGGTGCTAATGTCGTCGCCCATGGTTACACCAAGGGTGATGGTCTTGGTGCTGAGATTGTTGGCACTTTCGTGCTTGTTTACACCGTGTTCTCTGCAACTGATGCTAAAAGAAGCGCCAGAGACTCCCATGTCCATGTATGCAACTCACTCCATTGACTATTGAATTATATACAGATATTCACTTTAGAAAAGGTGAGATTTTTATCTTGAATTAAATTTGAATGTGTTTATTGTAGATTTTGGCTCCTCTTCCAATTGGGTTTGCGGTGTTCTTGGTTCAATTGGCCACCATCCCCATCACCGAAACTGGATGTTGCTTCTTTGGTGATTCATTGACTGTCAATCAAAAGGAAACACATGTTGAAACAGAATAAAAGTTAATTTAAAACTCAATCAGGTATCTTATTTTCTTTATTGATTACAATATTCTATTATCTGAGATTTGATCAGATAATATCTGAATACATTAAATTCCAACAGAATATCTGAATCGATTCCAATTTTCAACCACGCTTTAGTTGTTTTGTTTTTCTAAACCATTTGAAATGAGTAAAATTATATAAAAAAACTAGAAACTTCTGAGTTTTGTAGATAATAAGAAGAAAACAAAAGCTAAAAGTTGGTGTGTATTTTTTGTGGTGATGTAAGCAGGAACATGTGTTTCTTTCAAATATTCATGATTCAGATATTCTGTTGGAATTTAATGTATGTTAGGATGATGCAGGAATGATGAGGTAACTTATGAAAAAAAGATATGTGATACTTCATTCTCAAAGAATGAAGAAAAACAACAATATTCTTTCAGAATTTCAGGATTCAACATCCAAAAACAACAATATTCTTTCAGAATTCAAGAATTCAAGAAGAAAACATGGACAACGAGAGTATTCTAGCAGAAATGTTGTTATTTTTTAAGAATGTTATTCATTTTTGTTGATATTCTTTTAGAATATTTATAACTATATTTAAAATGTATAAGACTTTTAGTCTGTAAGAATATGTATGAATTTGTATTTAAGTTCGGATGTATAAGAATATATTAGAATGTTTGTTATTTTTCAACATCTTATTCAAGAATTTTGTTTTTCTTCAATAATATTCTATTAGAATAAAATTCTGAAAGAGTATCATTCTAACAAAAAATATTCTGATAGAATAAAATCGGTAAAAATTGAAATTGAATTAATTAAAAAATTCAGATTTTTTTAAATTAGGAGAATTAATCATCCCTAAAAATTCGAAAATTTCCTTTTATAAATGTAGTTAATTGTCCAAAATACCATTTTGCTAAAAATTGTGTGATTATATGGTACATGTCACCCCATTGTAATATCATACACTCTCAAATCATGTCTATTGATTAATTTCATCCGTTGGTCCAGATCTGTGCATTCTGGCACACAATACTTAGTAAAAACAAAATAACTTAACCCTATATATATATATATATATATATATATATATATATATATATATATATATATATATATATATATATATATATATATATATATATATATATATATATATATATATTTAAAACCAATGCGTTATAAACTTAATGTTTTTAACCCAATAATTTAGTATTTGTCTAGTTGACCCAAAAACATTTAGTTTGACCATTTCAGCCCCTTTATCTATAAAAATGGCACTTTTAGGGCCCTTTAATGAAGATTGACATTTTTGGTCCTTAAACCGTTTTTCTTGACATTTTAGACCCAAACTTTATTTAATTAATAATTTCAGCCCATAACTATTGTATTTGCCATTTCCAGCCCTTAGTTGTAAAAAGTTTACTTTTTTGGCTCAATTTCCGTAAGTTTTACAATTTTGACCCCAAAGTCGAAAACTTTGCATTTTTAGTCCAAGTTTTACATCAAAGTCATTTTCAGCCCTTAAAACAGTTTTATTCACGTTTTAAACCCATAGTTTGTTAACTTTTTCATTTCAGCCCCTCAAATACTTCATTTTTCACAACTTTGGGCCCAAGACTCGTAAGGCCCAAATTTAAAGCCCATTAAGCTAAAATTTATGTTTTTGACCCCTAGTGAAGTGTTATTTTCATAAAAGTTAGATTTCTATGTAAATAATACTATTTTGTCCTTATAAAACCGAAAATATCATATTTTACCCAAACTTTGATTATTTTTGCAAATATGACACTTATAAGGATTTTGACTTTGTTTTCACTTCTTAAGCCTAAAGATCCTTAGATCTTTGAAGTAAGTTGTTTATTATGTACATTGTTTATGTATTCTTCACACTTTAGCCATAGATTTCAAGATTTAGCAAATAATATCATATTTTCACAACATAAACCAAAGAAATCACATATAACAAGCATACACACATAGATCAACACATAGTACCTGTATTCTCCACCAAAAACATGTAAAAACCGAAAACAAGGGGTATGAACTCACCTTGGATTTGTTGGTTCGGTTTTGGAGAAATAAATGGAAGAGATTGATGTTATTTTCGGCCCTAGTAAGCTTCTTGAGAGGACTTTGGTTTAGATAGCTTCTAAGGAGTAGATCACGAAAATTGCATGAGTTAGGAAGAGGTTTTTGATGAAATAAAGAAACTAAGCCATGGATCTAAGTAATAACTTACCAAAGATGATGATTTTTATGAAATAACCTTCTTGAAATGCCCTAGATCTCGAAATTTTTGAGAGGAAATGAGAGGTTGTTGTTATGAGTGTTTGAGAGAAAATTCAAGTGAGGTGTGTGTGTGTGTGTGATCCTCGGCCAAAGATAAGAAGAAGAGGGGGAGGAGAGAAGTGGTGAGGTGATGGATGCATGGGGATGTGAAAAGGGTGCACGGATATCCCCCATACAATTTTTGAGGTGTCACCCACCCCCTTAATACCCATTAGTCTTATTTCCCCGTTTTTTTTATCTTGGGCCGAATTCTTGGGCTAGGAGGAAGGAGGTAATCTAATTTGGCCCACTTCTTATCTTGGTTCGAAATTATGAGGTCCTTAAAGAAGTTTTCGGCCCATTGGGCCTTTAGGGTAGTTTACGGCCCAATTTGCATAAAAGATTAAATTTTATGGCCCATTAAGGCTTTTAGATTTGTTATGGCCCAACAAGGCCCATTAAAGGTAAACTAATTCATTTTAGGCCCATTATAGCCCAAAATGTTAAGTTTCATGCAAATGGTCTAATTAGAGCCCATTTAAGGGTCCTAAGCCCAAAATAGTCAAATTGGAGGCTTATTGGTCCATTAGGCCCAATAAGAAAATCCTATCCATAATGGACGTAAACCGGGATTTTTAGGGTTTCCAATCTTTTGTTGACTATTTGAAGTGTTTGTATTGAGTGTTTGATGGAATTTTGTTGTCGTTGAATAAACATCATGCATACTTTCAAGTTTTAGTCACCAATGTTATCATTGTTAATGTTTACAAAAGCATTAGAATTCCTAGTTGTGACAGAGAAACTGACACGAATCTACATTCGAGAGATAGTCTGCCTGAATGGTGTGCCTGTGTCCATTATCTCCGATCGGGATCGCAGATTTACCTCGAGATTTTTGCAGTCACTGCAGAAGGCTCTTGGAACTAAGCTGGATATGAGCACAACTTACCATCCACAAACCGATGGGCAGAGTGAGAGGACCATTCAGAAATTGGAAGACATGTTAAGGGCATGTGTCATAGATTTTGGAAAGTCGTGGGACACCTATTTTCCCTTGGTTTAATTCTCCTACAACAACAGCTATCATACTAGCATCAAGGCTGCGCCGTTTGAAGCCCTCTATGGCCGTAAGTGCAGATCCCCTCTGTGCTGGGCTGAGGTGGGTGACACACAGCTAACTAAAAGTCAAGTCCCCGATAGCACTCTCACAGACCCAGAAATCATTCGAGAACCACATAAAAGATCGTACAAATCAGAGAACAACTAAAAGCTTCAAGAGATAGAAAAAAAGAGTTATGCCGATAAGAGACGAAAACCTTTGGAGTTCCAAGTTGGTGACCGTGTCCTGTTGAAGGTCTCACCCTGGAAGGGCATGATACGCTTTGGAAAGCGTGGAAAGCTAAATCCAAGATACATAGGACCATTTGAGATCCTCTCTAGGATCGGTCCCGTTGCATACAAACTTTGTTTACCTCAAGAGCTTAGAAATATCCATCCCGTCTTCCACGTTTCGAACCTTAAGAAATGTCTATCCGATGAAACCTTGGTGACCCCTCTTGATGAGATCGAGATCAACGAGAAGCCTAATTTCGTGGAAGAACCAGTCGAAATTTTGGATCGGGAAGTCAAAAGAACGAAACAAAGTCCCATACCGATAGCGAAAGTCCGCTGGAATGCCAAGCGAGAACCTGAATTCACTTGGGAGCGCAAAGATCAAATGAAACAGAAGTACCCACATCTTTTTTCGAGTCCATGATTGTATTCTATGTTAGAATTTCGAGACGAAATTCCCTCTATCGGGGGGATGATGTGACAACCCGAAATCTTTTTCTGTAAATCAAAATTCAATTAATAAAAGTCAGACTCGTTTCTACTATCACTTTATTGTGTTCAGGGTCAGTTTGTGTCACACCCCGAAACCGTTGGCGGAACGTACCGGGGCGGAGGACGTCATGTATAGCATCACAACCAATGAATAACAGCAATCATAGCAACACAACCATTACAGTGAATACTTGAATAAAAACGTTTACATCTGTTTGGAACTCAGTTTGAATTACATCCAATTGGTTTACATAATAAAAACTTAAAAACTCTAAATGCTTCGGTTCCTCGAAAATCCAGCAAGTACCTGTCTACTGATTTCCTGAGAATACAAGCAGTTTGAGAATATCAGCATAAAGCTGGTGAGTTCATAAGCAGTAGTTTGTAATGAAAACTTGTTGATGAGCGAGCTGAAATGATTTGTGTAGTCTCAAGAAAATCCGATATTTTCTTTAGTGAAACACGTAGTGTTATCGATTTCGTTTACAACCATGAATATTCGTTTCTGAAAAATCGTAGCGATATGCAAAAATACTTCTTCATGTAGCTAGCTAAAGCTAATCATGAAGTATATGTATTTAAGTGTAAAACCGTAGCATAAATGATTCAGTTTTGAAAACCCTGGCTCGGCCAGTATGCATGATGTGTTTAGTTCTATTTGGTACAAATAAAACTACTGAAGAAAACCAGGTTGGTAAACTATCGGTGATTTATACATGATGTGAGTTGTATAACCATGCTTGATATGACTAGTGACCTTTCCAACGTTCTTCAGGCGTTGATGTTAAATGACATTTGTACATCTCAGGCGTGCCCGCCAAACTGTAGCTAACAGTCCAGATGTGGGATTGTCAGTCCCGAATAGATCTATTCACAAACCTCACGCTCTCCCTCCAGGAGACTCTGGT